CCCCCCCCCCTTTTTCCAAGATTCTGTCACTGTGGAGCTGTCACTTTCTATGCAGCTATCTGGATCAGCTCTTTAGTTTGATTTTGGAGTTTCTGTACCTGGACTTTGCAGGGCTAACCTGGAATGTGACCTTTTTGGGCTCAGCTAAAGGTGCCCATACACCTGGGATGGTCGTAAGCTTATTAAAAGCTCGTACGATCTGTCTATAATGGACAGGCAGATCGTACTTGCGATCATCGAAAGCCCGCCCCACTGAGGGGCGGGCTTCCGATCACTGCAAACGGGCAGTGTGCATGTGCGCACACCGGCCAGTTCAGCAGTTGTCGAACAAGCAGGCCACTAACCAGCCGAGAATAGTACGGGTTTTCAAGCCTGCTTGTTTGACGGAAGACGTGCGACCGTACAGTAGAAACGGTCGTACGCCTTCCATACACTGTACACTTATCGTACGATCGCGGGATTTCCAGCAATTCGCGTATGAAAAACGTACAGTGTATGGGCACGTTAACAGTAGAAATTTCATTTTTTTTCATTTTCTAGCATGCCCTTTGGGTGGCAATGTCTCTTCTGAGCTGCCCTTGATACCCTGAGGTGGCAGGGTATCCAGGGCAGCTGGATACTGCCTTGAGGGCTGGAACTAATGTGAATACATATTTTGTAAATTGATTACACTATCAAAAGTCTTCTGATGGAAAAAGTTCTGATTCCCTGTTGAAATTTCATCTTGCTTCCTGTGTGGTCACCGTAATAGGAAGTTGGATCTCTCAATAACGTGCATTAGTAAACGTCTGACAGAGGTTCTCATCTTTTTATTTTGGTTTGTACACAGATGTGCTGTTCTTGGTCACCACAAAAATTGAAGTAAAATCTTTCTTTATACTGACTTTATAAATAACCTAACAGTCCTTTCCAGTCTGTATATACAAAACATAAAAAGAAAATTTGATAGGAATGAAGAAGTATTAAGAATGTAAATTGTACAACTTTAATGTATCTGAGTGACTGGTTTTTCTTACACTTGTGCAAGTTTCGGACCAACTAATTGCATAATCCTATGCTTTTTGTAGATTTGGATTCTAATGATAACCAGGAGAGTGGAGGATTTTCTAATAAAGGTAATTCTGTGTGTTTGCTTTTCTTTTGATGCAATGTTGTGTTGTCTTTGGTTTTGGATCACATTAGAAACAAAAAACTAGAGCTTAAAGCACGCATTCATTTTAAAAGTGCTGACATGCTGTTCAGTAACAATTCGACCACTGGAGGGCAGTGGGGTAGAGCAGTATGGGAATGTTTTATGGCTCTTGCGAGAAATATTACTACACATTGATTTGTTGATGGAGGAAGATTTTAAGTCACTTCATTTTAAATCTGATTTTCAACCTTGACTGAGATTACATATATTTAAAATGCAAATGAAACCAAAACTTTGGTGATGGAGAGGGCTTACAACACCTGGATGGTTGTAAAATAATTTAAAAGCTCCCACGGTCTGCCCATCTTGGACAGGCAGATCGTACTTGCGATCATCGGCGGGGCTTGCTTCCGAAGATTCCAATGCCGCACGGGGAGACAAAAGACATGCGACCGTACAGTAGAAGCGGTCGCACGCCTTCCATACACCTGCTGATTATCGTACGATCGCGAGATCACCCGTGATTATCGTACGATAATCGGCATGTGTATGGGCGCCTTTAGGAAGATTCACCCTCTATTTGTCCTGGTGACCGTTAATCTCTGAAAGAAAATCACAAAAATGTTGGTTGTCGGAACAGGAATAGATGAAAAATCTTCCAATGGGAACGCTAGTTCTGGTGACTTCTTACTGACCACCAGGGATTTCCCTCATTTTGGAAGGATTTTCTCTCGCTTCCTCTTATGGCTATTGGATAGAAAATGAATGAAAATCTCCCCACTGAGACACGTATGACATAAAGGTTGACTGGTTATAACCCTCCCTTACTCCAAAACTAAAAAAAAGGTTTTTAGAGAGACAGAGCCAGCTGTCAAATCAGGCAACCGCGTTGATCCCAACAATAGTGTCAGGATCTTTTCCTGCTGCAGCGCAGCTTCCACTGCCATCATATAGCGAGCAGTAGCCCACTAAATGCTCACTTTGGCTCACATGAGTACATTAGTAAATGTACTCCTTTGACCCAAAAGAGGATTAAAGCCGAAAAAGTTTGGCTTTAGTTCCCTTTAAAAAAAAAAAAAAAGCATTTTTCCAAACTCTAATCAAAAAGGTATTTTAGTGTTTTGGCCTATTGGTGCCCTGTGTTCCCAGATTTTCTTTCTGAAAATATTGAATAGAAATTAAATCACAGAAATGAGAGTAAGGTTCCTTTCACATAGGCGGTCCAATCGGGTCTGCCTGTGAGTTTTTCAAGTGGACCCGATCGAACGCCCAATCTAAGTCTATGAGCAGCCGTGTGTTAAGGACTAGTGTCCGTTTACCCCTGACTCCAGCCAGGTCTGGAAAAAGAAATGAATCAGAGATCTGGATTGCCCCAGATCGGAAATAATCTGATGTCCATTTACATCCGTTTCCCCATAGATCGACATGGGGTCCGATCATTTCGGGCCTTTCACACAGACCTTTTTCCTCCGTCGCAAGATAGAGGGGAAGACTTGTCTGACACGGATGTCACAGCGGTGGCATCCGCTCCATACTGTTTTGATCGGGAGGGCGTATATGTGGACGGATCCCCTCCTGATCACCCTGTGTAAAAGGGGCCTAAATTCTTGTTGCTTTTATTGAAAGCGTGTTACATGTAATCTAAGCCAATGTTTTCGACCCCCGTGTGGCCCCAAAATGTTGGCTACAAATTCAAGAAGCATGAATTCATGCTTTCATTCCTGTGAGTGCTGGTGATTCTCTATTCAGTAGTTTGAGCAACGTAGGGCCATCTGTCGTCATTGCGAGCATCACTTGTAATGTTACAATGCTGTATGGAGGGCAGGTGATTCATAACAACATTGAGTGGATACACAGACGTATATTCAAGTGATACCAGTTTAATGTTTTCCCAAACTGTTTTATTTTTCACCCCTCTTTGCCTTGACATGATGGGGTCTCCACCTAGGTCATCTTTCCATCATATAGATAACATTTAAAGTCGTACGCCTCTAAAAAAAATTTAGGAATTCTTTGGGGAGACCTTCTGTACTACATAGAAATGAAGGGATTGTTCATAAAGTGCACTTTAAATGTGTTTAAAAAAAATAATAATTCCTGAGCAATAAAATTCTTTTTCTTTAAAGAAAATGGGTCATTTGGCGATGGTCCTAAGCGCGGTGGTTTTCAGAGAGGAGGTGGTAGGTAGATTTTGTTTATTTGGAAAGTTTATTTTTTATTTTTTTTTAATTTGAGAAGTTATGCTTTTTTATTTAAATTCAATGACATCTGGACTTCCTGATTTGTGATAGCTGGTTTACATGTTCATACTACTTGGGCTTTTCATCATTAGGCTACTGTTGCTCAAATTTGTAAGGCCACAGCCTGGTCTTTTGTTCACACTTTTGAAAGGTTTCTAAAGTTGATTTCTACCACCTCTGATGCTAGTTTTGGCAGAAAAGTTTTGTTGGGCTGATTCTTATGGTTGTTTTCCTGCCCCTCTGTTTGGACAGCCTTTTTGAATGTCCCTGCGTATTATTTCTTCAGAGCTGTGTCCATCAATGGACGATGTAGAAAATAAGATTTTGTTACCATAACATACTTTGTGGGTTGGGGCCTATTGAGGGACATGGCTCCCTCCCCTCATTTCCTTTCATACTGCTTGCTACAACTGGCATGTGTGAGTTAAGAGGGGATGTATTTTTTTTTTTTTTGCCTAGTGTCCATTTCTCCTGAAGGCAGCAGCATAACCTACATATATTTCAGAGCTGTGTCCCTCAATGGACTCGGAGAAAACGATTTTACCCCAAGAACAAAATCCAATTTTTTTGTCCTTCAGCCTGTGGGACAAGATGAGAAATCTAAAATCTATGGATAACCTCACACTCCTATGTATCTTTTTACAAGCAGTGCTTGGGTATTTTTGTGCCTGGGTCGATATCCACACTTAGGCTGGGTTCACACCTGGGCGTATTTTTTCTGCTAGTTTTTTTCGCGTTGTTTAGCGCTTTTTTTTGTTCAGTGAAACACGCTTTTCACTGGTGGTATGATTTTTTTGTTTTTTTTTTTCCTTTTCTCTATTTAAAAAAATGTTTTTTTTCACTTTCAAACTTCCCGCCGGCTGCGCCCCCCTGTGACGCGGCCACTCACAAGGGACGGAAGTCGGCAGCCGCCGGAGGACACAGCGGTGATGGCGGACAAGGTAATACCTGTACGCTGTATTTCCGAGTGTGGCTCGGGGTTACCGCTTTGTTAACCCCGATCCACACTCGGGAATACCAATGGAAAAACGCCCCAAAGAAGCTCCTGTACTTTAAGCGTTTTTCAGCGCGTTTCTACGCGGTGAAATACGCCCAGGTGGGAACCATGCCCATAGGAAAGTATGGGATTTTACTTGCTGGGCGTTTTACATCGTGTCAATCAGCGCTGTAAAACGCCCAGGTGTGAACCAGGCCTTAAGTTACATTTCAGCAGTTTGTGAACCCTCAGTTTTCAAGCTACAGAGCCGGCGCTTGTCAGAAAGTCGATTACCCTTTGACTACCTTGCTGCAGAATACATGTCTGGAGTTGGTCTGTTGCTGGTGGTTTTCAACATGGGGCATTTGACATCGAGAAAATGTCTGAGCCTTGATTTGAATGATGGTTTCAAATTCAGTATTTGTTCACTAAGCTTGTCTGAGCTCTGTGATTTTCACAAGACAATTAAGGGAAACGTGTGTAGATAACATACAGCAGGGCTTGAAAATTCCGCTTGTCAAATGAGAGTGGAAATTCCTTTCTGGCGAGCACAGTAATGCCCTACACATTTATTGATGGAGCGGGTGGCTTGCAATGCAATCCCCAGGCCCAGGGGATCAACTTGCGTTCCACTTGTGCTCCAAGCCTCGTTTTGAAGCCGGCTTCTTCTTCGGCACTGCAATTACACTGGCAGCGCCGCTGAGGGGACAGGTGAAGGAGAGGTCCGCTCTACTCCGCTGAGGGAGACACGAGAAGAGAGACCCGTCAACGGTGCACATCCCTACACCCACCAGCTTAAGGTGAATTACATTTTTTGTGCTGTGCTCTGGGGGCAAAGGGATTTCAAAAAGAGTATTAAAAAAAACACGTAACTATTATTCCATGTTTTTTGGCATCAAAAGGCTATAGGCTTCTGTAAACTAAAGTCTCTTGTAAAAGATGCTGGAGATAAAAAAAAAAACTACAAAATGTTTACTACAGGTTTAAAGCTGTAAAACTTGATATTTTGATTGCACCCTATTGCTATTTAAGCTATTGCTGTTATGTTTAAATTGACATAATAAAGCTATGTTGTAATTGCTGTTTTTTATATTTTGGACTCTTTATTCTAAAGAAAAATGTAATTTCATAAGCTTTAAGGGGGTGGGGTTGGGGGACTGGGGTGGGGTTGGAGGCGGACCTGGGCAAGGTTTGGTGGGTCAACTGGTGGAGAGTAAGGTTTTTGCCTGGCTAGTAGGTCTAGACTTGAAATTTTAAGCACTCACTTACAGTATATGTTTAAACCATCCTATACAACTGCTTTTTTTATGTTAATAGGACATTCTTTACTGTGCATGACCATTGTTTCTTGGATTTCTATTTTGAGATCAGACACATTTTTAATACATTTCTGTGTTTAGGATTTGATAATAACAGTAAACGAAATGGATTTCCAAAAAGTGGTGGTAAGTATTTGAATACCCCTTGCCCCTCATGTTATAGCATGTGAACTTGGAAAAATGTTTTTGTATAGATTCTTGCAGTATTCACACACTTTTTTTCTTAGGGAGGAATAGTGTGCAGGCCACTTGAGTGCAGTGAACCAAACATTTTTTACATTGATCATGTAATGTAATACAATTGTCTTAAAGGAAAACTATTGAGAGAGTTTAAATATACTCTTCCCAATAGATTAAGCCACCGTTTGAGTGACACTGCGGCTGTCACGCGCCGGCTCTATAGCTCGAAAACCGAGTGATCACAAACCGCTGATCTCTCAGGTTGTGGCTTTTGCCTGAGGGAGATCCCCCTTTTACCTCCAGCACTCATTGGCGGGTCAGACAGGGGAGGGGGTAGGTATATATAGCTGGCTCTAGAGAGGCAGTGTCCACTTTCAGTCAGGCAGCGGGGTGGATCCTGACAATGTTTTTAGGATCTTTTTCAGCTGTTGGCATATAGCGGGGAATAGCCCGCTATTTGCAGAGTTTGGGTCACAGGAGTACATTAGTTAATGTACTCCTGTGACCCAAAAAATAACTTAACCCAAAAAGTTTCGCTTTAGCTCTCAATGTGTAGTTTTTTGCTTTCTTTTAAGACATTTTTTATTTTACATTTTGTACTTTTTACTATTGAAAATAAAAGTGAAGCATATTCATTAAGTTAAACCTGCTTGATGACTAGTTCAATATCTCATCTGAAAATTCAAACAATTGTTATAACTTGAGAAAATTTCCATCAACAGAAGTGTTGAATGGATTAAGTAATTTTAAAGCTGTCATTTTATTTTAAATTGGATTTGGTGATAGAAATGAAAAGACAACAAGTTTTTTACAAACCGTGATGGTAAGTGTTTTACCAACAGCTGTAACTGTTAGCTCCTATTTACAAGCTCAGAGCCTCTTTGTGGGTAAATAATAAAAAGAAAACATTCTCTTAATTGGGCCGTACGCCAACATCCAGACATTTAAACAATTTAGAATTGAGCTGGATTAAAGATGTCTTGCTTTGTATTTTTTCACAGCTCAGTCACCTAACTCCCACAGTGTATGTTGCTTTTTTCCCGTGCTTCTGAGTGCAGGAGTAAACTAGGATACAGACTTAATTCCCAACCACGCTTTACGAAGGGGACGAGCTTAAGCTAATATGAGGGTAGCTGCTGTGTCCTTCAGTGAATGCAGAGAGAAAGATTTTACGATGCGTACCATAATTCCTATTTTTGTCTTCTGTTCATTAAGGACACAGCACCCGCCCTCATATTAGCTTAATGTGTTGCTGTCTATCGCTTTCTACTGACCTGAGTTGATGAAGTCGGAGCGTTTCGTCACCAGCGGGGACTGCCTTTGGCATGTGGTCTTTTTTGCCTAGCGTCTTACTCTTTCAGGTGGCGATATAAATCATCGGTCATTATCCTTATGAATCCTGCAGTGTCCTCCAATGAACGCATATAAATGTTTTTTTGGTGATCCTATGTTTCTCCGCATTCATTGAAAGACACAACACCCTCCCCTCTGGTTTTTGTCTGTGCCTCTTTCTACTGCTTTGTGAATAACTGAGCTGCTTCCAGCAAATTAGTGATGAGGGGGTGTGGACCCGCAGCAGAGGCCACACCTGGGCTGTACTTTTTTATGGTGAGAGCAAGCAAAAACCTTTAGTGGATACAGTGTGACATAGTTTCCAATTAGTGGTCTCTTGTCAAGTACAAAAATTGTATATGGCATCTACTTGCTCTGTTTGGCATCTGTGTACATTAAGGATGCATAATTGCTCATCCCCATTTTTACCACCCATCAACACTGCTGGCGTTTTACTGTGGATTCTTAGGACTGCCAATTTGTTGCGTTACCATTCGCCCTTTCCACTGCATTTAGTCTTTCCCAAGGTGCTGGCCTGTTTCGGTTTCAGGATCGATCACCATAGTGGGGTTATAGGATGACCACTTCCTTAGAGCAGTTGGAGCAAGCCTTATCATTTTGATTATAGAACCATACAAACCCTCCAGATCTTTTTTTTGTTTGTTATATACAGGGCTTGAAAAATTTGGCAGTGTCTCACCAGTCAGTCAAAAATTTCACCAGTCAGCATGACCTGACTATAGCCTTGCAATATATGTTAAAAAATTTTGGGGACAGATAGAGGTTTCTTTTGTGACCCCACGGGGGGGTTATTTTTTTTTAACTATATAATGAAAAAAGTACCATAAATATATTTAAAAAAAAAGTTTCCCTACGTTATGTTATAAAACATTTTATTCTTACCCATATTTTTAGTAAAACATAAAAGTCGGGGTCACGTCGGGTAAATAGACACCAAACATGTCAAGCCTTAAAACTGCGTGCGCAAAAAACGCCCATAGGCGACGAGTAAAATGCTTTTACTGCTCATCACTTTAGTGTTATCAGTGATTAATGGCTCTAGAATTATTGCTCTCATTGCGACATTTGCAGCGATATGTAAAATGTGCGGCGCAATCGTCTTCGCACGTAGG